TTAAAAATCGCGTTTTTTGTAGTGAAGAATAATAATAAAAAAGCAATAATTTTTAAAAAATATAAAATAAAAATTTAAAATTAAAAAAATTATAACTTAAAATAAAAATAAAAAGTAATATTTTTAAAAACCACGTTTTTGTAGTGGAGAATAATAATTAAAAAAATATTGAAAAACGAAAAACGTGGGGCGAAAGAAATACATAACAGTACATATACGCATACATATACACATTTTCTTACTCATACACATGCACAACCACATATGCATCCAAATACATACGCATATACACAAACATATTCCACATCCACATGCAATTACAATTACAGATATACATACACATATTCTCAAGAGCACACATACGCACACTAATATAACATTACTGTTATGTATTTCATGCGCCCCACGTTTTTCGTTTTTTAATTTTTTTTTAATTATTATTCTCCACTACAAAAACGTGGTTTTTAAAAATATTACTTTTTATTTTGATTTTTTTTATATTTTAAATTACTTGTGGAGGTGTAACAGAATTTGTGAGGAAATGTTTCTCCAGTGGTATAGCGTTAAATTCTTGCTGACTGGACTCGTTCCTAGGCTATGGTGCCGGACCAGTAGCCAATCTTGGTGCTATATGGTAAAGGGTCCATAATGACCTAGGCACATGTCCAAAGCTTGGAGAAAAGAAAAGAAGAAAAAAAAGTGGTATAGCGTCCTTCTAAACCCCGTAAATATTTTCACGCAGTAACAAAGATAAAGGACATTTCATTTAGATGGATTTTGTCCAAACTTACCAAATTGGTCCAAACTTACAAAAAAATTACCAAAACTGACGGACTCCATTAGATCTTAATCCGAATAAAAACTATCAAATAAGCGCGAAAACAATTAAAAAATAAGCGTTACCATAATAGTTTTAACAAATAATTAAATAAATAAATTAAATAAGCAAATCCCAGAATCAAAGATTGAATTTTAAAGACTTCCTTAACGCACTTCGAATCATCACAACAAATTAAAAGATCCCCTATAATTCACTTCTAATCAAGTACTATACTTATTATCCATAGCTCTACATCTCTTATTGAACAATTATGTGCTTTACAGATTTATCCAAATATAATGAAAACGAGCTAACAGACCCATCAGCTGGCTATCCACAGTGAAAAAAATTGCAGAATTAAGCGTTTGGAACCGGTGACATGCATCATTTAAGAAAAGATGGACAACATGTAGTGGTCTCCAAAATATGTACTTAGGTGTATTGAAACATACAAGTGTGTGCATGTTCAAATAAATATTTTATTATCCATTAGTTAATTTTTTTTTAAGAAATAACAAAATTTTGCCGTAAAATTAAATTCTAATTATTTTGTCTAATTTGATTGTTTGAGAGCAGGTAAAGTATGAGTATTTCATAAAAGAAAAATTAGTTTTGTGTTCATTTTATTTTTGGAAATATCCAACCTAGACGGTTATTTACTCTTATATCTAGGCAAAGATAACAATATAATTTTCTGACGGCTAAAGGGTATTTAATCATAACCATACTCGCAACAGCCCGAGAGCAGGGAGGTTATGGATGCTGAGGCTCCACAATTTCGTTACCAACTATATGGTTGTAATAATGTTATCGTCTTTACTTCCAAAAGAAGCTGGTTCACATCGATCTGAAGTTGAGTGTGCTTCAAGTCGCAACTGCTCGATTCCTACACCAATTTTTAACAATGACAACGCATCCTTCTCTTAATGTATTGAACCAGGTTCGAATCTCAATGGTGGCCGATTTATAACCCTCGTGGAACAGCCGACCCAATTTTCGGTTTACGACTTCGAATGTTCAACTCCGTAGCCTTGAAACCCTTCCCAGAAGACAAGGGGACTCCTGGATCAAATATTAGGAGAAATATGCCTTCGTGGAGGACTTTTTGATGGAACTAATCCGCACTTGCGTTACAAGGAGAGGAAAACCGCGAAAACCTCCCACGGTTAGCCTGACGGCAAGGCCCCCCAGCCCATGATCCGTCTACCTCTAAAGATATTTTACGTCAGCACTGTGGTCGGTGTGAGCCTCCTGCGAATTGTACCGTGAGTAAAAATTTTGGTACAATTAGTTAGAGTTTAGGCCGAAACAACAAAAAAAAAACATAAAGATCGTATAGTTTTAAAAATATTAACATTAGTACACAAAAGAAGAAAAAAAACATAATAAATTAACCTAATTTTGCCGAAAGGTTCGATTCAAAAAAAAGATTTATTTATAAAAAAAAATCACTTACCTAAAGCTTTAAAATACACATGCTGAAACAAAAAATACCCCCCCCCCTTTCTTCATTACCTAAAACATGTTTAAATACAATGGGAAAAAAAAGGAAAACCAAAAATTCTGTTGAGAAATGACTCCAATCATTAAGATAAAAAAAAATTATTTATTATAATAGCATGGTTATCAGGATATACTATCAGGATTATAAAATATAATTTTAGGTTTTAAGGTTTTAAGATGCAAGGTAGTTGGCAAGGTTTACAATTTGTTAAACTAAAAGTTCATTAGATGGAAATTAGATGGAAAGTTCATTAGATGGATGGCTGCATTCACACTATTACTATAGCAATTAAAAAGGAAACGAAATCATACCACGTGCCCCCTGGCACGGACTTGCTGGCACTTCCTCATGGAGATCTCATGGGTCATGGAGATGAACAAGATCTTGATTACCATTTTATCTTCCTTTCATACTAATCATGTAAGCTTCTGTGCCGCTTGGCACGTGTTTCTTTCCAATTCCACATGGCTTTCTTTCTTCAGCCACAACGTCTATCAGGTAGGAGAGCGAGAGAGAGCCAGCTTTTTTTTGCACACCGCGCACACTTCCTTTTATATACTTTCCAAAAACGCCACCATTGCCAACACCTCAAAACTCACAAACAGAAATAATTTTTCAAAAATAAAATTATTTTAACAAAAATTGAAAGATAATTACAAAATAAAAATACCTTGCATATGTTGTGAAATAACTTAATCATTTAATTATTTAACCAAATTTAAAAATTTAATTACAAAAACATATCAAATCAGCAGAAGAAAAAAAACAACTTCAACTGAATAAACTGAAGTTAAGTCATGATTGATGCTGCCACCTGTCTGCTAAAAAAGAAACTAACTGAACAAATGTTTTAAAAAAAACAAACTTGTTCACTATTATTCAAAGAAACAGTTAAATAAATCTTTAAAAAGAAAAAGTTATTAGTCTAAAATTTAAATTAAATTAAATACCTAAAAAAACTGAACTCTTACAAGTAAGAATAATAAAGTTTACCAAAAATAAAAGAAATTTAAAAAGTTAAAGGTAAATAAAACATGTAGAATTTTTGAATTCTACAGAATTCGTATCGATCAGCCATTGCTGGGATTCGAACCCGGTTCACCTCATTAGAAGGCGAACCCTCTATCCCTAAACCACCACTGCTCAATGATGGCTCGCACTGACGTAAAATATCTTCTGAGGTAGATTGATTATGGGTTTAAATCCAGTTGCCATCGGGCTAACCGTGGGTTTGTTTTCTTAAAAAGTCTTCCTACCTTACAGAATTTTCCTTCTAAAATTATGGTAAAATAGCTGTGAGCAGCTCGTCCATATAATTGAACTTAAAGCCGTTATGGTTTTTTAATGGACCTCTTGATGTTAATTTTACTTATAGCGCATTTCGCCATATCTTGAGGACTTTTTAAGCTAATTGAAAAAAATTTGCTCGCAATTTTAAAATATATTTATCCAAAGATAATTCAAAAAATAAATGTAAGTAAATATTTATTAAACAATAACAATTTGAATAGTAAGTTATACAATTTTTACATTATTTTAAAATATGTAATTTTACATGGAAAAATACGAAATTTGAGCGAAATCGGTAAAATAGTTCCGGAGAAATCGATTTTTGAAATAGTCGTATATCCAAAATTCGATTTCTCAGGAGCTATTCAACCGATTTCGTTCAAATTTGATATTTTGCTATGTAAAATTACGTCATACTTTAAAATGATGTAAAAAATTGCATACTTTACACTGCAAAATTTTTTGACTATTGCTCAATAAGAAATATTTATCATTTATTTCATGCATCGAATTTATCTTTGCATAAAATTTTTCAATTCGCTTAAAAAGTTCTCGAGATATTGCTGATTACGCAATAAGTTAATATTACGTAGTCCAAATTTGGGATCACACTTCTGACCAAACTACACATCCTGTATTTTGGGGGTCAAAAATTTGAATTCGTTGATAAAAGGGTATGCTTATTCAGAGAAAGTACGTTTTTGTGTCTTATTTCGTAACTTAAAATATCGTCTGCACTAAATAATTAGCATATTCGATGTCACCCCCTCGAACCATTAAGAATGAGTCCTAGAACGAGAAGATGTGATCATTAAATCAAGTTATTCAGGGTATCTGTTTTTTTCTTCTTCCATTTTTTGACATGTTTTAGTAATTTCTGGTATTTCCAGACCGGTAGAAAGCAGCCTACCTAAATAACGCACAACATAATTGTCTAAAAAAGCGTTAAAAATTTCGACCATAGTTGCTGTTACTTTAACAAATTAATAACTTTTTCATACCTTTAACACTATCACTTAAATGTAGCATTATTTGTCTAAAGAAACAGTATAATCATACCTGCCAACTTTTACGCGTTTGGCGTAAAATTTTATTTTCATATTTAAAGTGGTAGTAAATATATACTATTTTTTCTTTTATAAACTTAATTTTTAAATAATTTTGATCACCACTATTCTTAAAAAAATTAAGCATATAATATTAATATGTGTTACCATCATAGTCGTCATCTTAAGCATTATCAAAAGCCACGTATCTTTTTGCTTAAAATTGAAATTTTAATTCCATATTATTACCACTGGGAAAAATCATTATAGAAGGGATTAAAAGTTGGCAGTTATGAGTGTAATATTTACAAAGAATCGATGAAAGAAAAACGGCAGAAAATACTTTCGAAAATATAAAATTTTATTATCTGATTATCAAAATTTATAAGGAATTTGTACAAAATAATACAAACTATACATCTAGCATAATACACAAACAACCGGAAACTAAGAACATATTTCTTTAGACATGAAAGTACAGACAATATACAAGAGAGTTAGAAACACTATCTGATGAACTTAACATTTATTAAAAGAAATACTGAGTAAATATATTTGTGCCACATTTTAAAACAAAAAATTAAACTATAATTTTTTCAATGCGACAGCGTAAACAAAGTACTGATGATTTTTAAACTAGTAGTCCAAATTCTATAAAATAAAGAATTACAAATATTCTTTCAGCCAGATATTTCGAGTTTCCTTTTTACCAAACTTGGATAGAAAAAAATAAAAAATCCAGTAGATTTTACGAAATAGTATAAATTTCATGAAAACTGTTGCATAGTCTACTAAATATTTTACATATAGGAAATTTTAGTGATATTTTTTGTCATCGAAATACAAAAACTTTTTTATACTAAAAACTATAAATGGTCTGTAATATTTTCTATTTACGATTTGTATTAAATAAACTTGAATTTAAAATGTTTTTTATTATGTTAACTCATAATTTTGATTAGTAATAGGCAACGATTATTGATAGTTAAGATTTTTTTCATAAATTTACAAAGGGAGTTCTGAATAAAAATGAACTGAACATTATAAATGAGGCTTGCTTCATTATATATAAGTAATACTTATTTAAATATTCAAGCTAGCAATAAATTGTGTAAAAATTCAATAGGAGTTTTGTATGGGAAACTTACTCGATTTTGAAGAATTTTTTAAACCAGGAGAAATTCGATAAATCCAATAGTCTACTGGTAAAACCAGTAGACTACTTAGTAGTAGTTGGCAGCTATCTATTTAAAATCTTCTTCTGCTAGACACTATCTAATGGGCACAGTTTCTTGAATAATAACAATTTTATGAGTGAATAACAATAATAATGCAGAACTTGAAGGAAAATATAAGATAAATGCACCACATTTATAAAACAAAATATACATAGACATTTTTATGTCCAGTGTTTATAAAACATATCTTCCCTAGCCAATAGCTTCCAAATCATCAACATTGTCTGTATCAATTTTGGCAATTTCTTTACCGAAAAATGTTTCAATGTCTTTTAATATTTTTAAATCGTTTTCGTCGATCACCATGTTGAATGCAATGCCACGTTTTCCAAATCTTCCGCTTCGACCTATTCGATGGAGATAGGTTTCACAGTCAGCTTCACCAGTGACTTGAACGGGCAAGTCAAAATTTATGACTACGGTCACTTGTTCAACATCAATGCCTCGAGCACATACGTTCGTTGTAATCAATACCTGTAAAACGATAACAAGAATAATCTATTACATTTGAAATAATTACAATCAATTGTTTGTATCATTTAATTTCACTTTAAAATCACCAGTCTTATTTTTTTAATATTTTATTTTTTAATTGCCTTTCTTTCATATTTAACAGGGGTCCGTTTAGAAGAAATTCGGATCCTTCACGAAATATTTTAACTTAAAAACGGACTCTTCACAAATTTGTTTATCTTCATTATTGTTTTGTTAATCGAATAAACCCTTCCCAGAGGCTTCTTCCTTTATTCGTCAGAAATGAATATTCTGCCTTCAGTAGTATAGGCTAAATACCAAATATTTATATGTTGCATCGCTAATTTAATAGCTGCAATTGCTGTTTATTTTTTAAAATTTAATTTTTTTAATTATAATTTTAGTGTTCAGCATAATCTTGTATGTCTTTACAATTTAAAAACTCCTTGAAAAAGTTTTTTTTTTTGCAATAACGGACCCTATTTGCACAAATTCTTAACGTATATAACGTATAAATATTGCTTAACGTATATTTTATATTCACAAATTACGAGTAATTTTTTCACAATTTTACAAAAACGGACCTTTCACAGAATGTCTGGACAGACCCCTGTTTAAATTTAATGTTCCTTCTTAGTTGTATTCTTGACAATATAATCATTTTTCAAATTAATGGTACTGGGTTTGTACGGATGACCAAAATAATTTAGATTTAGGAAATAATCAATTTCGAAGATTTTTTTGCCCTTAGCAACAATATAATATAAGGAAAGTTAAATAAAATAATTTAAGTCCACGGTAGTTCTAATGATGGACATTCAGATGACAATGGAGCTAGATTTATTAAAAACTAGCCGCCTCTAGCGACCACCTGCAGTGATTTAGTTTTGGGGACAAAATCCTGTTTGAAATTTTACATTACTTGATTAATGAGATATTAGGATATAGTCAGTAGGATATAGTTATAATTTTTTTTTCATTTTTTTGCAATTTGAACAGCTGAACTGGCATTTTAAATATAACTTTTTCAAGTATTTTGAGATTTAAAATCATGCATTCAGAAACAAAGAGATTATCTAAGTATAAATTCATATTATACGAGAAAGGGTGGACTTAATTTTAAACTCTTACATATTCACATTTTCAGATGTTGAGCATTACGCAGTATTTTTCATGGGCTTCGGGGTGAATTAGTGATTAAAATGTTCAGTAAAACATTAATTCGTAAACAATATATATATATACATATAATAGGATAATTGTTGTAACAATGAATCACAGCGCTAATTCTAAATTAGTTATAACCGTAACGTACCTCTCACACACTGAACGTTAAACCTTTGAGCTCCGAAAAATTGATACAATCAACTGACGATTTCATGACCAACCTAATGGATCCTCGAACCTCTAGTGGAGTGTTTCGTATGGAGAATCACAAGTTTGAATTTCATGTAGTGTGGGAACGAAAAGAGTCTAACACGGAATCCTCTGTTCTGAATCCGAAATGCTTTATGGACTAGACTTTATTCATATTTTGTCCCTTAATCCGATTTAATTTTATAACACAATGCAGCACGGTGACACGACAAAAGTGGTAGCCTATTTGCCATTGAAAAAATTAATTGGTTCTAAACGTTATTTTGAGCAAAAAAGAATCTCTCACGTTGAACGTTAAACCTTAGATATCTGAAAAGTTGATGTAACTGATGATTTCATTACCAACCTAATGGATCCTCGAAATTCTAGAATTTACAGGCGCTTATTTTGCCACTGAACTTAATGGTTATTTATTCGTTCGACAACATTGATTTTTAAAAGTTACATACATCTTATGTAAATTAATTACTTTAAAGTACAACTTTGAGAAAATTTATACGGTAACTATAGTTTTTTGAATAGTAAATGTAGGGACAATATCGGGATAGTGATCTACATGAAACTGATATATCGAACTAGTGAGCACCACTTTATTGCACTAAGTCTCACCCATTTCACTATGTTACCGCAAATAGGGAGACAAAAACTAATAATATATTAATAATAAAAATAAAGGTTGCGTACCTTTTCTTTCCCTTCTCTAAAGCGAGTCAGGGCATCCAGTCTTTGATTGGTCTCTAATTCTCCAGATAAATAACCAACGGAATGTCCATCAGCAGTCAGTTGGGCTCCCAACCAAGCTGCAGTTCTTCTTGTACGGCAAAATATAATGGTCTGACCGATTGATATGGAACCATAGATATTGGACAAAGCTGAATATTTACCTTCGTTGGTGTAGCACATAACATAGAACTGCTTGACATTTTCTAGAGTCCATTGTTCCCTCTTCAGCTGCATTATTATGGGTTCAGTTATAATCATTTCTGCAAAACTCATCACATCAGATGAGTAAGTGGCGGAAAACAGCATCATTTGACAACTTTTAGACACCATGCGGTGAATACGCAAACATTGATCATGATGCCCCTGAGTCGAAATCATGACATCAGCTTCATCCAAAACGAAAATTCTCAGCTTCTCCAAATCAAAAAATCGATCACGCCTAGTCCAATGAAACACTTTTCCAGGCGTTCCGATCACAAAATGCTCCGTTATTGTGGAACCTCTGGGCAAGTTCTCGCCTCTAACAGCCATTCGGAACTCAATCCCTTCGCAAAACTGTGCCATTTTTTTCGCCACCTCGCCAATCTGCAGGGCTAACTCGTAAGTAGGTGCTAATATCAAAACCTGGGGGTAATGTAAGTCCGGATCCGTTCTTGCTAAACTAGACAAAACGAAAGCTGCCGTCTTGCCAGTGCCACTCTGAGATTGTGCGATTATGTTGACGGGAGGATCCGCTAGCAAAGTAGGAAGAGTTGTTTCTTGAATCTTGGAAGGAGCATTAAAGCCCATTGCATAGACTCCTTTTAACAGATTTTCTGGCAGGTGGAGTTGCTCGAAAGATTTCACAGAATACAAAGGAGAGTCACTGTTCTTCCGCAAAATTTCAACTTCGTGGGATGAAACCAACAGTTGGGTCCTTAGAATTTTTCTCATGATGGATATTTCAGCCGCCGACAAACGAATTTCATCATCATCATCGGTAGGATTTGCCTCAACTTTAGCATCGTTTTTGTTGGTGTCAGTTGGAGAAGGTGTATCGAAAATAGGCCTCTTGAAAGCACGTTTTTTCGTTTCTGTAGACCTTTCTGGAGTTGGTGATCGAGATAGTGGAGAGCTGCCAACTTCCCATGGCCTTAAAACAGGCTTAGAAGAAAGTCTAGAATAATCTAAAAGCTGACGCAAGTCTGTCACTTCAGCTGTCATATCTAAAATTTAAAAAAAAAATGCTCTATAAGAAAAATAAAGTATTTGCAAAAATTAGTTAAATAAAATAGTTGTTTAATTCAAAGAACAACGATATTTTCTGCATATATATATATTAAATCTGAAATGCGCATTTAAGATTTTGACACGTCCAATATTAATCAATGTTGTTTTTCGATCACATTTTTCGGCAGTAATCAATATAGATTTGCACATTGTCCCAATATTTTTGATTCAACATTATTACGATACACGAATTTCGAATTTTAGTAATCACTTTTGACGTTCTTCATTTGTTCCGACTTCATCGTAAATTCATGCGACTTTGCGATCATTTTTACCGTACTTGAATAACCACGCGGATTTTTAGTATCAATACAAATAACTTTAAAAAAAAAATTTCGTCAGCCTTGCATTTCAACGTGGTTTTTAAAATTTCGATACTCTTAGCGCATTTATTATGAACAAGCATCAAACCGAGCATTTAGATAACTACTTTTCGGTGCGCTTTACTCATACCGATATAATTGCTAATTATTTTTCAATGGTTACTTCATAAATTATTGATGAACAACTTTTTCACGTGGTTTAAAAACTTCTTTCATTTTTAATACTATATTGTTACCAGGATTGGAATATTGTCTGGAAGAAACCCAGTTCTTCCAGTACATTGGAAGAATTTTTAAGCTCATATAACCTATTATTAATTATTTTCTATTATTAATAATAAATTATTTTTCGTTTTGATTTGGTTTATCCTTATGTTTCTAAAGAAAAAAAAGTTCCCTTATATCTAGATAAATATGTACTTATATTATTTTGATTTTACTGAACATTTTGTTCAAGGGGTCTAGGTTGTTTTTAATTTCATCGAAAACGCATGATTGTACAATTTTCTTTAATTAACTTGCTACTAATTATCTAAATTTGTACTCAGGATTCTGTTTTTTTTTTCCGGGACTTTAACGTAAGCACAGACATTATTTAAATACAAACACTTTAGTGATATATCACTAAGAACTTTTATAATTAAAATTTTTCCTGACTTAAAAGTAAAAAAAAAAAATAATAAATAAATAATAGAAGTGGCATATTGAGCGCACAATAAGAGTCATAAATGTTAATGACTTGAAATAACTTTTAATATAGAGTAAAATGTCTTTCAAAAACCACACTAACTCAAGGAAATTGAAGAATTAAATAAGAAGTATTTTGTTAAATAAAAAAAAAATTATATTTTTAAGCGACATGCTATACTGAATCTATTTACCAAGTTTTAACTCGTAATTAGATTCAATTGGTTCATTAGAAGTCGAAAAATCTTGTGTGCAAAATCGAAAATCTCGAATGGTGACAACCAGATATAAAGACAATAAATACTTTTGAAGAAAATAAGTAAGTTTTCAGACGATTCCTATTTAGAAAACGGGTGTGATATTTGCTGCTTTCATGAATGAGTTTCATTATTTTTTCTGTAACTTTACAAAAGTAATTTAGGTAATACCTTATACTTGGTATCTAACTGCTCAGGATAAAACAATTTATAAATTTATTCCTTACAAAAAAATAAGAAAATAAATAAGAAATAAAAATAGAAGAAAACTTCCTTAGAGATAGAATTATCTGAGAAATAAAAAACTACTACTGTTTAACAATAAAATAAGAACAGGGACGGCTGCCCAAAATTTCAGAAAATAGTCAGCAAAATAGGAGGATATTTAAAAAAATAAATAAAATAGGAGTGTATAAAAACAAATAAAAAATTCTCCTACATTAACTTAAATAAAAAATACGTAAACTTTAATAAATTTTCATGAATATTAAATCATAAATAATATCTATTTTCCTACATAGGCAATTAAAGGTTAAAAACAGTAATTAAAAATAAAATTGCTGATGAGATCAAAAATTCTCTAAGACAGACTTTCGTTGAGGTTTTAACAATATAATTATGATGCATAAAATTGAGCTACGAAAATTTATTAAGAAATTGTTTTTCGTTTTAAATATAAAATAATTTCACAAACACACACATATATATACATATATATTAAAAAGTTATTGATTAGGATATTTTTCTTAAGGTTAAAAAAATTTAGATTTTATTGAATTGTAGTTTTTTTAAATCGAATATATAATATTTTTTACACATATTATGGGCGATATTCTCGCTATTTCTGGAAGAGGAAAACGTATGAGTTATTTCTTTTATCACATTTTGTAAATTATCACATTAAACAAACAGAAAATTGCGAAATCCATAGTAGTAAGAAGTATCGCGAATAAGATAGCCACGTGAATTGGACTCTTCAAAAAGGTGTTACTAAATACGACTTTCCTTTAGAGATTCGGTTGTTGAAAAATAATATGGTATAAAAAATATCGGATTTTAAAAACTATGTGGAAATCAATAGGAATAAAGCAACAAAAAAACCGATAAAATCATGACGATAAACATTGAATATTCAAATTTCCCATATTGCCAGAAATATATCAGGATATTATAAAACCCGTGATAATCAATATCAGTTATTGCCGAAAACACAATCGAAACACTACATGGGTTTATGATACTATCGGCATAAATTCAAACGCATCAAAACGTGATTATTTAAATGCGCAATTCAAATTTCACGTGTAGAAATAAAATGGACTGATAAAGAACCGGAATTTTAAAAACACCGTGGAAATTGGGTGCACTGGCAATAAAGAGTTATGCCATCTTAACTTAGCGTGACGTGATATAAACATTTAAAAAAATTAGATTTAGAAAAAAAAAGTGAAAATTCGTAACAATAATTGCCGAAAAAAATGATCAAAATTACGATCGATATTACGATGGAATAAGCGCGAGTTGTGACATAACTATCTAAGGGAGCCTGTATTGAAAATTTTCAAGTGCGTAAATGTATAAAAATATTACTAGATCAATTTTATTTCAACCAAATTAAAAAAAGGAAAAAAAAATGTAGGAAAAATGCGCCGAATGAATTCATTTATTTGCTACAAATCTGAATTTGTAACAAAATTCCCAATCGCAGTAAAATTTTATTAGAATGTACAATATGGAGTTCCTTATAAAAAATGAAAGAAATTACATGATTTCCAGAGCAAATTACCTTTTCAATTTTCGCGATTTCAATTATTTTTTTAAACATTATCTAATTGAAATTCCAGCCCATTATCGAATTTTTTTATTCTCAAATAAGAATAGAAATATCAGGATCATTTCTTACCCCACTCGCAGTTCTCGCCCCTTTGTTGGGCGAGAAAAGTATCTTTAAAAAATTTTTGCAAGAAAAAAAGTTTTTTTTACTCTATTATTCTTTATTTTTCACGAGCATTTCTTTCCGATCGTGAGTAAGGCATCTTCTGAATATAATTTTGTGCAAGGAAAAAAAATCCTTCGAAAATTTCTGCAGAAAAGAAATTTAAAATTTTTTATTTTCCAAAGAAAAAATCTTTTTGCAAAAACTCAAACGTTCTGCGACAATGGTGCGGTGATTCTGGTACTGGATTATTAATACTAAGGAAAAACATGTATCACAATCTTATTCCTCTTCATGCTGTATGATATCCTCCACTCTAGTTGAACATGAATTGACAATCAGACATATAAACTGACGCACTAAAAATAATTCATGTTCTACTATATTCGACCCCTTCCTTACACCCCATAACAGGTGCAGTACTTGACCTTGAATCATTACTCCGTCATCTTGGCTGTCACCAAGTTTAAAGTAGCAAAATGATAGATGATTTAAAAAAAAAAAAAAAGATAAAAAGGAGTAGAAAATAACCGGAAAAAAGGGTGGGGAGCCAAAATAATAGGAGGTCTGTGGTTCCTATAAGAACTTATTTTTCGCAGAATTATAGCATTAGTAAAAATTAGCCAAAATTTGGAGGGGGCTAAGTGATAATATATGTATTTAAATCAAGTTACATCCTTTAATACTATAAAATTAAACTTAACTTAAATACTCTATACGTCTAAACATCAGTAATTTATACTATAACTAGAAATGCACACATTAAATGCACATGATTTTCTGTTTAAATACTAAAATTGCTTTTTTTTAATTTTATAAATTAAACATTGATGTGAAAATAAGAATTCAGCAATTTTTAAAAATGTAATCATAGTTAAAAATTCTTAAGTTTATATAATACCAAACCTTATAATTTTATGATTAGGTAAGTGTTTTCATTACAGAAAAAAATGGGAGAGAATTTTCTCATCCTTTCTCAAAAACAGGGTGAGATTTCAAAAAATTTAAAAAAAAAAGAATTGACTTGGAAAAAAATTATTTCTTTAATTATAATACATTTTTAACATCTTCTAATTGAATATTTTTGCTGCATCATCAGATGGAAAATATTCTATATCTACTTTTTCAACAGTTTTTATATTTATTTAGTTGAAAAATAACCGTATTTGTTTCGTTTTGACCGTTTCTACTGACATTTGTTTCATTTTCATTTGTCCGCTACGGAGTAAAAGATGTTGCCTTAACAAGGTATTTGTTCATCTTACATTCTTGCACAAAAAGCACGTCTTACATGAAGAAACCTTACCTACGGTGAACATGTGGTTGCAGAGAAATGTGCTCTGAAAGGGGTTCCGTGGTTCGGGGGGTTCTGCTGTTCACACTGGTTCTGAACAATACTGGTAAATAGGGAAGCTAGATAACAAGGACCGATGTTCAAAATGATGAAAGATCAAGGAAGAAAAGTGAAACGGATTTTATTCAAAATGGCAAAAGACGAAACTTTTTCCAAAATTTGCGCATTTTGAAATTGATTAATAGAGTGCGTGAACTTCTCGCGTTTATCATTTTCTATTGCGGGAAAAGAAGAAAATATGCGAGATTCTCGCGTTCTCGCTCTCTAGTGAAAACACTGAGTGTACAAATTAAATCTGTATTACAAAAAATAGCTATTGATAAACAATTTGACAGGGATCTGTTCAGGGCAAATTTACTACCGTTTAGCGGTACTTTCACAAATTCAACTTTAGGAAAAACGGTAGTTTCACAAAATGCTTTTTTAAAAAGCAAGCTCTCCTCCCCGCCTCTTACAATTTTGTTTCCATAAATTTTGTTCCGTATACTTACAGGAAGTATACTTTACAGGAAGTTCGAAATGGGTCGGCCTGAACTGCGCAAAAATTGCTACCCCCTTCAAACAGTGACATCAATTATGGAATTCACCTCCTTCCCAAAATTCGTCACAGGAGTGATTTAGAGCGTAATATAATAATATATAATTCGATTTTATTTAAAAAAGTTTTAAAATTAAGTTCGACTATACGTCAATTTAAAAAACACAACATAAAATTCCATTGTTTTGAGATTTTTTTAATAATTATGAAGCGTCATTAAATTTCCAATCTACTTCTAAATTAACATTGAACTAGCGTAAAAAGAAGTATAGTTAAAACAGAAATATAGAACAGTGATATGAACTATTTCATTCATTTATTGACCTTTTATTTTTTTCCCCCAACATTCAGTTAAATTTGTTTCAGTTTTTCGTTGTCGACGAGAGTAAAGAATATGAATTCAGAAAATTGTAAATATGCAGTTATAAGCGTTTATGCATACACAGGGGTCTGTCCAGACATTTTGTGAAAGGTCCGTTTTTCGAGAAATTGTGAACAAATTACTCACATTCTTTCAACCAGGATCCGCTTTCGTGAATTTGTACAAATAGGGTCTGTTACTGCAAAAAAACTTTTTCAAGGAGTTTTTAAATTGTAAAGACATACAAGATTATGCTTAACACTGCGAAATAATAATTTAAAAAATTAAATTTTAAAAAATAAACAACAATTGCTGCTTCCAAATTAGAGATGCAACATACAAATATTTGGTATTTAGCCTATACTGCTGAACGCAGAATATTCACTTCGGACGAATAATGGAAAAAGCGTCTGTCGAAGACAAAACTTAATTCGTTTACATCCATTTTTCTTGTTTTCTGCTCTGGAAAGGGTTTATTCGATTTACAAAATAATAATGAAGATAAACAAATTTGTGAAGGGTCCGATTAAAAGAAAAATCATTTTGTGAAGGGTCCGTTTTTAAGTTAAAATATTTTGTGAAGGGTCCGTTTTTATGAAAAGATATTTTGTGAAGGGTCCGTTAACGGACCCAAATTTCTTCTAAA